GCTTTGACATCCTCTTTTGATGCCTTTTGTCGTCTTCCATGCTAGACGGCAAATAAGCTGATTCATGTAGTGCCTGCACCTATCTTTTAAATGGGCCTTGGTCTAGCCGTTCATTATTTTTAATAATTAGACCTGTTATTCATAGTAGCAAAAAGGCCCGTGCGTTGCAACGGGAGAAAAAAATATCGCACGCTTATAATTTATAAAAAATTGGTCTATAATCTGAGAATTTGTAGCTACGGCCCAAACAAAAATGGTCTTAACCTATAAAAGTGCAGTTTAAGATTTTGCAGGTGTTCTATTTCAACACAACTTGCATGTAGATTTAATTCATACAAAGAAACGGGCAAATGATCATGCATTAATTTATATCATGTTCGGAATGAGGTGTTGTTACGGGTGAGTAAATAAAAATGACAAAAAAAATGACTGACACATTAGCAACCTACAGAGACATGTGTGCATCAATGGCAGTTTTCAGTTTAAGAATCACCAACTTAGGGTAACTCTTGAACACTTTTTTCACATGCATATTTCTAAAATACATGAAGAGTTGTTAAAAAGATACATGATTTTTTAATCATAAAAAGAGATTTTTTTTTGTCTGGAAAAGAACATTTTTGTATGGTCTCCTCTGGATGCCGGTACTTGTGCCCCTGTTTCATCACTATTTCTTGCCATACATGTCATAGGTATTGGTCCCTGGTTCATCACTATTTATATCTTATCAAAATTGTCTTTTATTTTGTTTTTTGTCATGCATGCCTCCTTTTTACTTTTTTCCATGCATGTCCTTTTTTTCTTATTTTTATATATAGGAGACGCAACATCTCATCTTTATCGGATCTCCTCTGCATTTTCTCTTTTATTTCTTTTATAGCGGGCATCCCATCTTTATGGGACCAGCGCACCCGTGCTGCCACCATCGCTAATAAAGAAAATCGTAGATAGGAAGCATCAAATCTATAGACACCCAAACGATGAAGAACGAAGACCACATCCAAGCAGACCCATCAAAGACCAGCACCAACCGAATTCAGAAGTTCCAATGGAGGCACTCCTCCACACATCCTCCGACGACGCTAGACACAACAATGGGACGGGGATAAAATGTGGAAGATATTATTCCTACTGAGAGACATCACCAGCGCCACACAGCCCCAACCAAGACATTGAACGTAAAAATAACTAGAACGGGGCCCTTCCTGCCAGCAGGGGCCCGAGGTCCTCTGCACCTACATGGCCCAAAGGACATCGGGGATGGGGCAGACCGCCGGTGGCGCCTGCGACTGGAAGAGGAAAGCTTATGATCTTTTCTTGTGAAGGAGGTTGTATTGTCTTAGTATATTAGCAACTGTTCCCATGGCCATGGGTCAGTCACCAATTTCCAGTTCCATAGATTAGAATTTGTATTTAAAGTATCTTTACAACTCTGAAATAAGTATGATACTCCCTCTGATTCATATTACTTGTCGCTGGTTTAATACCACTTTAGTGTAAAATTATACTAAACTAGCAACAAGGAATATGATTCAGACGGAATACAACTTTTTTTAGATACGCTTCTAACTTCATCCATTTTCATAACCATTACAGGTACGTTGCTTTAGATCTAGAATCCATTTTTTTATAAAGTAGCTCTCACAACTAAAAATTATAATAAAAAATAAAATAATTAGAGACATCTTTTGTGTGCTGTTAATTTTTGCAAGATGAAATACCGCGAGCGGGGCTGCAATTCTGACTAGAGTAGCGCTGCTGCTACCCGTTCATCTGCACGAACTTGATTACTAATAAAAGAATTTGAGAGCCCTACAGCTCCATCCAAAAAGAGAGGAAGCAATACGGGACGATCATGCTTAGGGCGGAGATTATTCCCTTTTTGCACTGGTGCCCGCTTTTTATGGATTTATTTTAGGATTTACAGCTGTCGAAACACAAAAACTTAGCAAATTGAGTGTAACTCGGATGGTTAGGTTCGGTGCGGTGAACCAGCCCACCAGGGTTCATGTCCAAGATTTTGCACTGGTGCCCGCTTTTGATGGATTTATTTTAGGAAAACGTTTCCAACCGGCGCACCGGCCGAAGCTTCAGCCGGTCTCACGGTGCGCGTTCGATCGAGTGGGATCCAACGAACCGTTTTTCTACTCGGAGTACAGCTGGACTAGGTCATGTGGCCCACTCTCCACCAAACATTCCTTATCCTTTTCTTCTTCCTTCTTCTTCCTCCGTCCGCATCTACACTTCAACGTTGCATCTTTTTCCTCCCATAGCAACCCCTCGCCAGCTGCTGGTTTTCTGCATGGGAGGCGGTGGTGCTGAATGGCAGCCACCTCACGGCCAAGCCTCCACTCCCCCTTGTTGCTGCCCGCGCACACACCGCTGCGAGGTCAACGTTTATGACGATGCATCATCTCCCTGGATGTGCCCATACAGCTTTTGGTTTTTCTTTTACGGAGTGCTGCAACCGGTCATGGGAGATCCTACATCCGTCGTGAGGGATGCTACAACCCATAAACTTTTTTGCTGGAACCTACTACTGTATTTGTCGCTGATTCTTTTTTTGCTGGAACCAGTGTTTTGCTTTGCTACCACCGAGGGCTTCATTTGCTACCATCGGCGACATGGTTTGCTACCACCATACGCAGCGGCCGGTCGAAGTCAATGTTTTTCTTGCTACAACCGCATCATTTTTTGCTGCAACTGGCAGCCACAGAAGCTACAATTGGTTGGCATTTTTGCTACAATGGCGACGACGGACGGCGCCGGCGAGCTTTTAATTTGCTGGAACCGTTACCCATTTTTGCTACAATCGGTCGTTCTTTTTGCTGCTACCGACACCACGACGGAGAGTACAATTTTCTTGTGTGCTCGTCGCTGGAGGTGTTGCGACCTGCAACTGCTGCAGGTCGGAGCTGCATTCGCCATCACCGAAGCTGCGACCGTCGTCACCGGGAGCTGCAACTACGGGGACACGCTGTTGCATGCACGGAGCCGACAAGAAACACATGAGACGGCGGCGGCGAGGCGCGGCGACCAGCGGTGAGGGCGGCCACCGGCGGCATGGGCGGCGACCAGCGGGATGCGTCGGGCGGTGCTTCTAGACCGGGTGCTTCCGACGAGTGCGGGGCGGCGCCATGGCCGGGGTGACGAAGCACGGGCGGCGCCCTTTGCCGGGGCGACGAGCGATGCGGCGGGCGGCCGGGGCGAGGAACGCCACAGGCGGCGAGGGCGACGAGCACGGGCGGTGCCAAGGCGGCAAGCGCAGGCTTCGTGGTGGCGCATTCATGGCGGCCTTGACTGGCTCGCTCCTCTCTCTGTGTGCTGGAGACGAGGATAAGGTAAGGAAAAAATAAAATAGGAGCTTCGATCTGAGGGTCTCGTGGAGCCAGATCCGGCGGCTGGGGGCAGACCGGCCGAAACATTCGGCCGGCGCACCGGCGTCCAGTGCTGCCCTTTTTTTTAGGCTTCCGGTGATGTTCGTTAGTGGTAGGAGACCTTCGTGTCGACTATCTCGGAGGTGCTCACAGGGATAGAGTGTGTCTGCGTGCGTTCGTAAGGATGGTGTATGTGAGTGTACGTGAGCATCCACGATTGTACTGTATTATAAAAAAGAAACACAAAACATCACCATAATGTTATGGAATGATCCCAACACCAGAGAAAATCATCCCAACAGAAGTAACATGACGCGCTAAATGCTCTTAGCCTCTAATTTCGGCTCTATGTGTCGCCTCCTCCCAGCATGCATGTGAGAAACGACATGATCACCACATTGCAAAGGCGGGCCGTGGTGGGGTTACTTGTAGGCTTCCTTTGGCGCAGGAGGATTCAGGAGGTTTGGAGAGGAAGATCCCCGGGAGGGCCAGAAGCCCCACGAAACCTAGTCAGCCCATTCGATAGGTGGGGTTTGCACAGCCCAACCCCCTCCGATCCCTTCCAATCCCCTCCTACCGGTGTGGCTTAGAACTCTCGTCGAGGGCCTCGCAAAAGCAGAACCTCAAGGGCAGCGGCAGCCCGCGGCTCCTCCACTCTCCGCCTACCAAATGAGATTTTTCAGGAAGGTGATTGGATGCAAGGGGAATTGAGGGGATTGGGTGGAGAGGATGGATTCACCAAATCCCCTCCAATCCCCATACCTCAAATCCTCCTGAATCCCTCTATGTCAAACAAGGCTGTAATGGTTTTTCAGTACTAGCATTGCCTCGACAAGCTCTAGATTCTTCTAGTTCCGCTAGAAGCCTCATGCTCATCCCCCCTATGCATGGATCAAAACATCGGTGTATAGACAAGCTATACAAAAGAAATTGGTGCAAGTATATGATCAATCACATCACATAGTAGCAGGGGCGGAGATAGGCCCCAGGCCCCCAGGGCCTGGGCCCGGGGCCTGAGGCCCAACTCCTTTGGTGACTATAGTGTTACCAGAGATGTGAGGCCCAAATCCAAGGGTATTGCTTGAAGGTGGCCCGGGGCGCGCTTCCGTCCTGGCTCCGCCCCTGCATAGTAGCACTGAGAGATTGTTATTTGGGCACACGAAGAGCATACCAGAGTACCAGACAACATTGACAAAAATTGAAAATGAAAATCACTAGGGTTGTAATGAGATCTTTTTTTTACTTTGATAAAGGGAGTAGAATAAGAAGCAAGGATACAGTGATATTTTTTATTTCTTGGATATCAGACAGTACTATAAGATACTCCCTCTGTCCAGAAATACTTGTCGGAGGAATGGATGTATCTAGATGTATTTTAGTTCTAGATACTTTCATTTTTATGCATTTTTTCGACAAGTATTTAGGGGCGGAGGGAGTATTTATTGCACATCTCTTCCCAATTAAGACAATAAATGCTTTTGATATATAGCACGCACAAGCGAAAATGGTCGACAGTAGCGCAACGTGGCTTGCGGTCATACATTAATACAATTGTTTCGAATGCTCGTTCAGCTCCAACATTTTGTCACATGGGAACATATATGCATCCAAACAAAGTAATAACTAAATGGAAGAAGGTAATGCCATTATGCAATTCACCAACAAATCAATTCCCATTTGTGAAGAGCCTCCTTTCTGAATGCACTGGGTTGCTTTGTCTTTGAGATTATTTGCCCTTCGCCTCATCTCTCCACCTTCTTCGTGGCAAAACAACTTTTTAACACTCCTCTGGATATTGTCCCTGTCCATCTTGCCCTCTAACACAAACCCTATCTTCCACACCTCCTGGACATACCTGGAATTTATCATCTGGTCACCGAAATGTGGTCTACATATCATTGGAACACCCTCACTTATGCTCTCCAACGTTGAGTTCCAGCCATTATGGGTCCAAAATCCACCAACCGCCTGGTGCCCAAGAACTTCTTGTTGTGGGGCCCAGCTCACCACCATTCCCCTACCTCGTGCCTCTTCCTCAAAGCCGACGGGTAGGCCTATATTCCCTAAACCTTCAACCGAGTCAGGCCGGATCACCCAAAGAAATGGCATGTGGCTGTTGGCCAAGCCCCATGCAGTCTCCACTAGCTCTTCCTGATCCATGGATGCCAAGCTCCCGAAGCTCACAAACAGAACAGATCCTACTTCTTGCTTGTCCAACCAATCCAAACATGTTCTATCTTGAGCCATCAGGCTGCTCTGGGCACCTAAAGATATCTTGTGAAGTGGACCGATTGCATAGACCGGGACGCCCATGCCATCGATGATCTTTTGTAGCTCAGCATCTTCTAGCTCGCTAAAGGTGTTAATGATGACACCTGAAGAACACATTGATGATTCCACAATGCGTTCTATTAAGGTGGACATCGTTTCATGTGGAATTGTGGCTGAGAAGACCATGTCTTGCTGCTGGAGCGGGTGGAGACCATCCAGTTGCATATTCAGTTGCAAATGATCTGAAATTTTGGTAAGAAAATGATCAACCATCGAGTGATGTATGTGTGGATGAAGTGTATTATTAACAAACTAAGCAACCTAAATATGTGAGTCCCGTTTCTAATGAATGTTTGTTGATGTTTTGGTAGGTGAATATGATTGTGGTTGAGTATGGTTGTTTGCACATGTGGATGCGACTAGTAATGCATGTTTTGTATATTGTTATTTATATATTCACATGATCCTACGACCATTGTCTTAACTCTATTGCTACAACCACTGTTTTAACTCACCTCCCATGTCCCCCCCTCGTAGGGGGCACGAGAGGCACTAACCTTAGCTGCCAGCCACTTCTTCTTCTCCCCTCCATCCCCTCCGTCGCGGTCGGGGGACAACGACGGGTAAATCTCGTGCATTTGATGGAAGCGGTAGAGGGCTTCTCCTCCTTCCCGAGTTGAATGGCGGCGAGGGTGCTCGATCTGCGGGGAGTGGCCTCTGCCTCGGTCCATGGTGGCGCGGAGGCTCCCGATCGCAGCACTCGTGGTGGTGCGGGTGGAGATCGGCCAGAGGGTGGGGTTGGGGCTAGGCGTGGCCGGTGGCGGCGACGACGTCCGACCCGGATCCTAGGGCAGTAGCCTTGGTTGTTGGCGGCAGGTGAAGCTCAGGAAGCACCAGTCGAATGGGGTGGTGGTGCCCCTGTCCAAGGTAGAACTGTACCGGCGATCAGGTGGTTTGGCTTCAGATCAGATCGAATCAGTGATGGTGACGAGCATGAGCGGAATATTTCCCAATAGCTCTCACGGTTTGGCGAGGTGGGGTGGTGGCCCACCTCCCAGGCTCCAGTGCTGGTGCACTCTGGTAGTGGCCAATGCGCCAGGGCTCACGCGGTGCAGCCAGATATGGGGCTTTGAAAGTGGTTTGGCCGATGCACATGATGTCAGATGGATTCTCGTGGGACGAAATCGTGGTGTAAACCTTGTCTTTGGTCGATGGCCGGATCCGGTGATGGTGACACCCCAGGCACTTTTTGCTTCCTAAAGGCATCATCGAGGTGAAGCTTGCACCTCCCTCTGCTACCTCCGGGGATGATGGCGGGGCTCACATGTCGTTCCTCCATTAGGGGTATCATTCTTCGAGGGGTTCATCGGGTAGAGGGGCCATGGACGACTATAGCTGTGGAGTGGCCTGGCATCTGGCGCGACAACAACGGCGGGTCCGATGACATGGGGCAGTGGGATCTCGGCAATGGTCGCATGTTGATAAATGTGCGCAGGATGCTGGTGATGTCTGGCATCGTAGCGGCATTGACAGCAGTTGGGCTTGGCAACGCATATGCATTGATCTCTCTAAGATGGGATGGAGGAAAATGGCGGTGTCGGATTCTTCAGTGTGGGCATGTGGTGTGTGTCGAGGGTCTGCTACACTGGTTGGTGCTGTTGGCTCGTGACAGCCTGGGCTGGCCACCTGATTAGATGGTGTGTGTGGATGCGCCAGGGCACTCCATGAGCCTTGTAGGTGTAGCGAGTGAGCTCGCCAGGAAGGCGGCTTTGGGTTGATCCATATATCTACTTTGTCGGACTCTGTTGAATAATTAATAAAGTTGGATGTGTGCATCGCTCGAGGCAGAGGTTGGGTGGAATCCTCCTTTTCGAAAAAAGAACAAAAAACATGAAGCTGCTTTTACTTGGATTTCCTTGCTTCCATCTTAATGCTAGTGATTCCAAGTATTCTCTTACCTTGAGTCCTCCAAAATATCAGTTGTGATAATGCTTTGGAGGATGCTTTTAAATGCAGTTAAGATGGACTCCATGGGGATTTCCTATTTAGCGCTGCAGGCGCCCGTTTGTGTGCATTTCGCAAACTGGCGCCTGCAGCGCCTCGTGCCGGGCCGGCCCATGTAAGGGGCGCCTGAGGTCTTTTTTTCTATGTTTTTAGATCGCACAAAGATGACTGAACCAGGGTTCGAACTAGCAACCAATTGGTTTCGAGGGGAGCGCTCAGACCAATAGGCCACCCGATCGCACGTGTCCAAAAATGTCCATTTGCTCATATTATTTACTTTCTTAACGTTCGCGAGAGCCCCAATTTTGGAAAGCTTCTGAGACTGGTTTTTCCTGGTTTGCGATTTGGTTTACGGATGGTTTTATTTTTTGTTATTTTCTTTTTAGAATTTTTTTTCAAAACTAATAAAATTTTGTGTAAATAGATGAACTTTTTTTGATGAACTTTTTCTTAAAATAGATGAACTTATTTTCAATTATAGATAAACATTTTTCAGTTTGATGAACTTTTTTCAAATTCGATGAACTTTTTCTTAAACTGCTGAACTTTTTCAGATTGGATAAACTTTTTCTTTCAAATACGATGAACTTTTTCTAATTCGATGAACTTTTGTCAAATAGAATAAACTTTTTTTCAAAATCGATGAACTCTTTTTTCAAAGTCGGTGAACTTTTTTCAAAATCAGTGAACTTTTATCAAATCCAATGAACTTTTTTCATTTTTGATGAACTTTTTTGGAATTCGTGAACTGTTTTCGAAATTTATCGAATTGTTGTTTATTAGAAAAATCGACAGTTTCCAAATAATTTTCAAATAACTCAAAAATCTCAGTGGTATAGTAAATGGTTGAATAGTAAATAGTGCGGTCGCAATAGTTGTAAGGCAGTTTGGTGATGATTTTGTTCGCTCGTGCTGTGAAGGTCTAGTGGTTAAGCTAAGGAATTATGGGCAATTGTGGCGCGAAATCGATTCCTCGTACAGCCATTTATTCGCGTGCTTTTTTTCGGGAGCGAAACTGTTCCTGGGCCGAGAGTAGAAACGGCCCAGAGAGACAGAGGGCGCGCTGTAGGCGCCACTTCCATGTTTGGGCGCGTACAGCGCCGAACAGGAGCTCCCGACTCCATGTGCCATCTATTTTTTGTTTTGTGATCCGCTCCCGGGCCTTGCTTCTTATGGATTTGTTATATTCCCTTTTCTCTGGGCCGTTGATGTTTTTTATTAGCGTGCTTCCCTCTAATTTATTTGCATCGATCTTATGGTATGCTTCTTACTTGTAGCTATTTGTTTACTATAGTTGGACTGTGAACTTGAAAACTCGTGAACTATTTGTACTATCAATTCCTTGCCCCCATTGCCATGTTTCCTTGATAGATTCCTTTCATTCGACCCCAACCATTACTGCGTTGATTTGGCCATGGCTTTCTGGGCTTAGTGGCCGGAACTGACATTAGTAATTTATGTGCATTTTTGTAATGTTTGTATCACTTTGTTTTCCATGTTATCATAAGAAAAGGTATAATTTTCACCCCAAAATGTAACCCAGCTGAGCAATAACCCCCTCAAGTGATATTTGATCTATTTTGCAGCTTCCAAATCCTGACTGAATGTGCCTTCTCATGGTTCTCGAGTTAATGCCACATAAATTTGGTGCCCACTACGTGTGGGGTCCAGTTGGCGTGGAAGTTGCAATACCTTCGTGTGTTATTTATTTTCATGTGCAATTTGGTTGTTTGTGTATGTTACCATAATAATTTTATATAATATTTGGTTTGTATATAAGTCCTTAAATGCAATTAGCTTTTTTGTATGCAGAAATATTTTGAGTACTCTAGAGTAAAAGAAATGCTATAAGTGTTTTCTTTGGTTTGTTATGTACGATGCTTGTTTGGGTGTGTGTCATGTTGTTGGGTGACGCATATAGGTTGTTACCTTGGCAACTTAATGGGAGCAAAATCCCATCTTCTCAACAAGAAACCTCTTCCTTTTTCTTGTCATGGTTCAGATTGAAAGTTCGATGACAGTGCTGATGCATCACATTCGCCAAATAGCCACCCCTGCCTCTCTTTGGAACAAATAGCTGTCACATTCTAAATGAAGACAGCCATCCGTTCAGCAGATAATCCCTAAGATTTTCGTTCTATCCATGTATATTATCTTTGATTTTGACACAACTAAAAGTGTACAGTTGTGGCTGCTAATTGTTTTGCAAATATGGTCTTATAAAAATTTAAATGATAGTATCATGATAGAAACCTATGAAAATAACAACACTAAGTTTACTTCGCTAATCTACATATTTCTAAACTTAAGCATTTATGTCTTGTACGAAAATTTGTCTGCTCTTTATCCGCTGGTCATCACTAAAGATATCGTAGTTCGATTTCTCAATTGCAGTAGTGTATTCTTAGAATGAAAACATAATATTCAAATACGCATATAAAGAAGTTACGCGCCTATATCGTGTCATTTCATTTTTTTCTATTCATATTGGTTATTCTCTTTTAATCACCGCTGCTTATCTGCTTGTCAAGGGCTAGTTACAAATCAAAGAAAAAACACCTCATATGCTTGTTTTATTTTCCGGAGAACCATCAACGAAGAACAAAATATAAATACTGATTGCATGCATATAATCCTTATATTCTATTCATCGACCTTCATTAATGTTGGTGGTACTGCAATTACGTTGTTCCATTAGTTCAATGACATGCATGTAGATGATGATGCACATGCATACTTATCTTCCTATATATTCATATGTCACCTCTCCATCTAATGTAATGTGTTCACTTGTTCATGCTCATCTAAATTGCTAGATATTTTATCTCGGTCAGCCAAAGCATAACTTGTGTTAATGTTATTCTCCTGTCCATGTTCTTTGCATAGACTTACGTTGTTACACTGAAAATTCCCTCCATCAGTAGGTATTAAAGGTCATGAATGGAATCACAATCGATTGATCTCATATCTCCTCACATAAGTAAGATTTAATTAAAAGTGTGAGACTATTCCAACCATCAATCTCAAATCTCTCTAATACTAATATGCATGTTGAATGTGGCCAGCAATGCAC